TACCCATGATTATTAATTATTTCTCCTCAAGTAATTAAGTTCAAATCAAAATAACTGAAGAAAAAGGTTAAGTACACAGCTCCATAATGGGTTATCTGCGTTGTACCCATTGCTAAAATCAACCCCAAATAATTGTATTTTTGTATAAATCCTATTTTTATCGGACTTTACATTAAAGTCTACTCTCTCTTTGGGCATTTGAATATTTAATATGTATTTGCCAAAATTTCAAGCGTGCTGCCATTAATATAGTTTTTAAAATTATTCAATATTCTACCCAAATGGCATCAACAAAATTACAATAAATTATAGGGAGCAATATAACTAGTCTCTTTCAGTTTCCAAGAATTTCTGAAAATTCGTAAAACCATAAAATTTAAGATGGTACAAAAGATGGAGGTTACTTCAAAATTTTAATATATTGTTGCAGTTGATCATTGATTTTAAAAATATTAAGTGGTTATTTTATTTGGACCCTCTCTCTGCAAACACTTTGCCTATTAGTATATCTAAAACACTGATAATGCGATGTGTCAGGTGGTTGACTGAGCATTGCAAATGCAGCGATGTAGTCGCATCAAGGTTAGTTTGCAAGACAATTTATAAGAATAAGGATCTCTGACTTTTAAAGTGGCGTAATAATAGGCGCCTGTCTAATAGGTGCATCCTATCGCATACCTTTTTTTCCCTTTATGACAGGTTGTTCAATGACGTACATCTGTCAAGAATGGAAACGTATAATGAATATATCTGTAACTAAGAAAAACTGACTGTCAACCATTGATGACTTACAGAGGGAAGAGAAAAGAAAACTAGAATCGTTAATTAAATAGCACCAACTATAACAAAAGACAAAAAAAAAATGTCCAAGGGCATCTGACAACCAGTCCAAATCTACTTATCTCAGATGCATGGAGAAAATCATGGTCCCAGTGATGCTTAGAGTGCAAAATATAGGTAATAAATGACTGGAAACATGTCACATAGTCTTACGTCATTTTTCATCCCTTTTTCTCTACATACGGTAAAATAAAAATATAGTGAAAACCACTTGACCTGTGGTTCCAACAGTGTAAGCTATTGAAGATGATGTAATAGAGTAGGGAAAGTCCTCGTGTATAGTTTGAGCCCTTTGCTAAATTTCCAGCCTGATGAACAAGAGCTCTTCCAAGATAGACAATATTGTAACAATTAACAATGCCTGTTTTGTTTTAAATTAGTTTAAAGAGCATTATGACTTCTGTTATCTTTCTTGGCTAGCATAATCACCAGGTCTTTATATCATTGAACATTTTAAAATAAATCCGAATCTTGTATTTATTACTGAAAATACCTGTAAACAAATTACATATCATAACTCTTATTGAATGAGCTAAAACTAAAGAGTCTATGGTGGAGAAAGATTCAGTTGAATATTGAAAGAGGGTCCAAATAAAGTGGCAGTCAGTGTACATTTATGTCATACCCATACACATACTTGGAAGCAATAGTATAGCACCAATGCAAATAAATATGGAGTCAATAATAGCAATAATAACACTATTATTTTTCCACTCTTGAAATTATCACTATCAAGTTTAAGCTCAAAAAGATGGCCAAGAGCAAGGGAAGAGCAATATACTGCTGTGTCATAAATGATGTTCTTATGCAATGATTTAGTTTGAGTTGGACTAAAAAAATTCAATTTAATATGTTGATTTTAACATTTTAATGGAGTTAATCCTAGACGCATGGATAGGGTTCAAAGCGCATATGCCACAACTTTTTACAGAGTGCCATTCAACATGGTATTATGTATTTGTTTTTTTATATTTGTCAGAATTAAACTATTCATTTTACCCTACATTACTAATTTAGCAACAGTTAATGATAGAGGAGGATAATTACAAATAGAACAAATAGAAATGGTGAAAAAACTAGATATGCATTTTGGATATTCTAGATGTTATCCAAATGCAATACACAAACTATATGATAGACAAAAGTATCTTTATTCTTCACATGAACATAACCTTGCACTCCAACTTCTCAGAATCCGAGTCAGACTGATATTGTCAATTCACAAATCTTAAGTACAAACACTTTTATAACATCTGATATTTTGTGTACAATAAATTGTACATCATACTTAAAATGTCTCCCCAACTGCCAGGTCCTTAATTATGTAACATCTGTAATATTGGGAAGACTGACAACAGCTATGTATAGCCTCTGTTATCTAATTACATAACTTGAAATGAAGATGTTTGTGCTGTTATTCTTGTATTCATAAGAAGAGTACTTTCTTTTACAAGTTTCACAACATTCTATAAGCAAAACATACACTTGCAAGTTAAAAACTTTGAAACAGGTTATCATAATATAGACTTCAATATCATTTATTTTTCAATTTGACAATCAGAAACTTAGCAAATGATAATCATGCCTAAGCAATAAAAACTATACAAAAATACTCAGCTTGCTTACTGAAAGTTAGGACACTCACTTCCTTAAGAATGGTTTTCAAGGTTTAACAATAAACGTAGATTTTTTTAAACTTTCCACAGCAACTACCTTACAATAAGATATTTCTGAAACATTTAAAATAATACAACAGATGTAATATGTTTTGTATATACACTTATTTTCAGTGTAAATCAACAAAAAGATTATTGAGTGGAAAAGTAGAACCTAATGAAAAATTTTACTTATAAACATCATAAAGTAAGATTTATGCAATTTTATACAGAGCTGCTGAGTGAGTAAAATCCATCACAGTCAGAAAATAAGGATATAACTATTACTCATGGTGGGTAGATACATACAATGTGTTTGTAATTTCATAATACAGGTATCCACGTTTTTATAATTAAACTATTTACAAGTAACCTTAAACAAACAAAATATGTAACTTTTGATAAATGAATACTATATTGCAATAGTAACTGGCTTTCATGCTGTTAAAAACATGGCTTTATTTGTAATTGAACAAAAACTTCTTTCCAGTAAAAAGCTGAAAAAACAAACTGTCCAATAAAAAATCTCATCACAATAGTTAAAAGAAAAATTCCAGACACTCTTGGTACTTGTTTCCATTTATTTCACTTAAGCAAAATATGCAAAAGCATCAATATTTCCAGGCCATATCTAAATTATACTTTACTTCCAACCCAACACAAATCTCAGGTAACATTTTATCAGCTGCAAATCTTTTATACATAAGTGTTACATAATCATTCTTAAAATACAATTAATCTTACTATGCAACAAACACGTAATCTCTGAAGTTTAAAATTCAGAAAGGTCTCAATGATACAAGAAAAAACAACAACAAAAAGATTTGTTTAGGCTGATCAAAACACAAGTATTCAAAGAACATAAAGAGAAAGACAAGCTGCTATGAAAGTCTATGGTTTGGTCCACACTTACAAAAAGATAAATATCTGGGTATGTCTCTGAAAAGTATCCAAAACATTTTAAAGGTGAAATAATATTACTCTAGCTATTGGGATCATAAGAAGAATGTTTATTTCTTTAAGAGTCGCATTATTTCACAATCAATGTGCTCTCCAATTTTAACTTTTTAGAGTAAACTTTCTTTAAAGAAAATTTTTAACTCTAACACTGTATTTTTTCAATAGGTTTATGAAAATTTTTATTTCCCATATTATATATTGGAAAGTTTAATATACAAGTATCATAGGTATACTAAATATTTTAATTATAGCCTTCAAGATTCAGTCGTACAAATGAAAAGCAATGCAATTAAATCTCTTAACACGTGAGCATAATGCACATATGAACTCAATTTAGTATTGAAAAGCAATGCAATATATTTCCTATATATTATTTAGATGAAAATTTCACTTTCAATAAACTGTAATTTCAAAATTATGAAAAATGGTACGAGAATTATAAAATCACAAAAATACCAATTTATTTTTTTTTATATACATTCCCACTTTGACAATAGGACTGGAATTATCAATTTTACCATGCACTTGGTTTATATTGCAGACTGTACACCAATTTAATTTCCTAAACAAATATTTAATACAAAATTATTATCTCCATTCAACAAATATTTATAATGAAGAAAAAAAGTGTTAAAATGGAGATTAGTATTTTGTATTTCAAGAACTGTGACCAAGTGGAAGAGCAGTTGCTTTTCAACTAAAAACAAACATTTAAATAATATTGAAAATACAAGCAGAAATTTACAAGATAAATCTATTTAATTTTTAACATACAGATTTCAATTCTCATATGAGCTTAATATTTTTGACACTTAAGAAGAATGAAGTACATATTTTCTCTCTCTCTCTCTTATGATAACTTTAAGTAAGCCTCTCTTTCACTCTTGTCAGACCTGTTGTTGAACCATTAATCCTGTTACTTGATAAACGAAACAACCATTACAGACACGAACAGGTTTGGTTATGCCATACTGTGGTAATGGAACAAAGTTAGCACTACAGCGTGAACAAAAGATCTGCAAAAAAGAAAATAAATGATAGATTAATTATAACACAATATCTAATAAAACATTCCAAATTTCATTAAAAAAAAATCTTAACACACTCTACAAATTGTACTCTGATAATATAAAATTTAAATAACTAACTATATGAGGATTCATTAAAAATTTAACCCAGTAATAAGCAGAAACAGGTAGTATAAAAGCCAATTCAAAAGATCCAATAGAATTTAAACCTTTTCAACCTGGTGTTCATGGGTGTTGGTCAAAGGGTGTATGCCGCAAGCTTTCACATAGTGCTATTCAACGTAGTATTACTTATTTGATGACAGTTATCAACAACTCAGTTTACCAGACATTACGTATTTATTGGCGACTAATGGTAAAATGAGAGTAAGTACCAAGTACAATATACAGGGATACCGAAAAACTATATTTACATACCAGACATTCTAGAAATTATACAACTGTAATATTCAGACTGTACAATAGACAAAATTATTTTTATTATTCATATGAACATCACCTTGCACTTGGACCTGTCAGAATGATATTGCCAATTCACAAACACATCTTGAGTACAAATTATTTTCATAACATCCGATATTTTGTGTACAACAAAGTTGTACATTGTGCTCAAAGCTTGCCACATTTCCTGTAGTAAATTCAGAATTATAGTCAAAGTTCATTTCCCAATATAAGGTCCATGCACATTTGGCTAATACAGTTGCCCATGAACTAGAAAACTGTATGACAACTGTATTAACTTTAAAAAGTTTAAACTTGTTGGTTCAACAGTTCAATCCATAATGAAACGAAATCAGAGTGGAAAGAATATTTATGCAGTCAAAAGTAGGGGAATAAAAGTAAAATGGCAACACTATGAAAATATTAAGTGAAGTGAGAAGTTATTCATTTTGAAAGTATTATTTCCTACATAAAATAATGATAAACAAACAGCTAACTATTTACGCTTTCTTAAAAACATGTCAAAATCACAAGAGTAAAAATTTTAGTTATATAGATATATATAGTTTTAATCTAGATATATTTCTTAGATATTAGTTCATTTCTAAACTTAAAATTATATTCTTCAGTACAAGATGTAAGTGGCTGTGAAACAAAGGATCAGAAAATTTGTTTTTAACTGTAGTTTTCCATTTATTTCATTATGTGTTACTGGCTGTTCTGAACTGTATGAACACATGATTAGGATATTCAGAGCTACATAACAGATATTCCTAGAAAGAGTCAAGAAATGTACTCTGGTGAAATCATTTTTTTCGAACAGGTATTAAGACTAAGCTTTCAGTTTTCTGAAGACAGAAAGAAAGAAAGTAAAAAAAAGGCGTGATGTCAAACTAAACACTAACCAATGAAATTTATGGTATTGATAATTATCTTGTTTTTCAGCATAAATATGAAGGATACAATAACAGTGAAAATTTACATGTTTAAATGATAACCGATTGTGGAGTCATGTCTAATGTGACAAACAAGCATTATCATGTTTTTCAATACTATTCTACAGTTTCAAA